CACACACAGACACACACAAACACACACACACACACGTACTACACACACACACACATTTTTACTTATTTTCTGTTTTCTATAATGTTTAGATGAATTAGAACTATCTAGTTTATTTTTAGAATGTTAGAAATGTTATCATCGATGAATTAGAAATATGTTAATGTTTAGTTGAACTAGTTCAATTAATATATAGAACGAACTAGTTTATTTTTAGTAAATGTTTAATTAGTTGAACTAATTGAATCAATATAACTAGTTTATTTTTAGTAAATGCTTAGTTGAACTAGTTGAATTAATATATATAACTAGTTTATTTTTAGTAAATATAATGCTTAGTTGAACTAGTTAAATTAATATATAAAACTAGTTAGTTTATTTTTAGTAAATGTTTAGTTGAACTAGTTGAATTAATATATAGAACTAGTTTATTTTTAGTAAATGCTTAGTTGAACTAGTTGAATTAATATAACTAGTTTATTTTTAATAAATGCTTAGTTGAACTAGTTGAATTAATATATAGAACTAGTTTATTTTTAGTAAATGCTTACTTTGAACTAGTTGAATTAATATAACTAGTTTATTTTTAGTAAATGTTTAGTTGAACTAGTTGAATTAATATATAGAACTAGTTTATTTTTAGTAAATGCTTAGTTGAACTAATTGAATTAATATAACTAGTTTATTTTTAGTAAATGCTTAGTTGAATTAATAGAAGTAGTTGAATTAATTGAATTAGTAAGTGTTTAATGTTTCGCCTAATATGAACATAGGAAATGTCGTCTGACGACGGAAAAAATTTCATTATGTGCGAATACTGTGAAGACCAGCGCGGCCAATGCGACAGAAATTTCTTTGTTGATGGTAGGCGATTCAGCATCTAGCTGGATGAGACTTTCGAATTCGATACAGTAAATCACAACGACAAGTCTGTTTTCGTAATTAAGCATGACTTATATATGCTTCATTTGCCTGACTTATAATTTTTAATTTTCACTATTCTACTAGCGCATCCCCTACCATGCAAGAATTTTTGTCTTGGATAAGATAGATTTCAAAGATATGGAAACTATGGAGGTAAAGAGAGCTTACCTGAAAACTGAGCATGATGGTTATACTTTCAACGTCAAAGTATACAATGCATACACGTACACCTATTTTGAATGCAAAACTTGGCAAACACTATGCAAGACTTATGCATTTGAGCCTGGTATGATTATCACCTTTGATATTCGTCCGGAAGATGATATTGAAGGTAATAGAGACATATGGGTCGATGTGCAGATGCCTCCAGTTCTACCATTATGTGAGTTCTTCTCAACTATATTTTTGTCTTTGATATTGCTTATTCAAAAATAACTGACAACTAATTTCTATTGATAGCTTATCTCCATTCAACCAAACATATCCGGCGCTTGGTAGACAGGACCTACTACTGTCCCGGTGCTGAACTAAACTGCGAGGAGATAAGTCATTATGTTTCATGGCTTGAGGATCTTCATACTGTGAAGACAAATTTTCTTCCTGCACTTAGAAATGTTAGTACTCAAAACGTGCGACCAATAGTGATGGTATTGAACTACGGTCACATCTATTTAGGAATGATGGTAAGATATTTACTATTTGTCCTCAGTGCATATTTTGCATACATATTTTTTTGCTAAACTTTTCATTGCTAAGTATATTAATTAAGTACTATACGATGTTCTTCAACAGGGACTCTCGATGACAGTTGTGCCTCAGGGGATCGAGACTAAAGGTCAGATGTCAATTGTTAGCTTACGACCAAGATATCCTGCATTGCACATTAATGCATTCAAGATTTCTAAAAGCGATGAATGCTTAATAGTGAAAGATTGAAGGAAAATTGTTAATGATCGCAGAGAAGTACTAAGGGGCAGCAATGAGAAGCGCAACCCACAATTAGGAGACAGGTTCATCGGCATGCTCCAGTATGATCAATCAGGAGAGCTATACATGTTTTATGCTATTTTACGAGAGAGAGTAGCTAGCAGGAGTGATTTAGCTAGTTCTTCATGCTGCTCTTAATTAGTACTTGTCATTTCATGTCCGTGTTCTTCGTTCTGAACTTAAGTGATTTGCTTTTGTGATGTTATATATGAACGCTTATAATATCATGACAATCATGTTGAACTCGATGATTAGTTTTACTAGAAATTTTATATATATATATATATATATATATATATATGCATAACGTGTATAATGTGTAGTATCGTAAAATACCAGCAAACGAAAAAGAATTAAAATGGAAACACAAAATTAAATGAAAAAGAAATTATAAAACTAAAAACCCCCCAAACCTTATAGTACCGGTTGGTCTTACCAACCGGTACTAAAGGGCTCCAGGCCCCTGGAGCTGGCTCGTGCCACGTGGTTTCCCTTTAGCATCGGTTCGTGCTGAACCGGTACTAAAGGGGGGGGAGCTTTAGTGCCCACACTTTAGTGCCGGTTATGGAACCGGCACTAAAGGGCCTTACGAACCGGTGATATCGCCCGGTTCTGCACTAGTGGTAGAAGACTATATTGACCACATTATGAGGGAGTATATTTCACAGACTACATCATCTACTACCGCAATATACCGTTAGATCACAAAATCGTCTAAATTACCTGAATGGATAAACTAGGTCAAATAATTTTTTATACAATTTAGAGCACGGGTTAGCTACCATTTGTGGTGATGTAACGATAACATGTAATCCGGTAGTGGATAAGATGGAACCTGCATGTTAGGGAAACCACATTTCCTTTGTGCCACTTTCCATATTCATGCAATCACAACAATAGAGATACTGGTTATCGTGGGTGTCAGAAAACAGAGCAACATTAGTCGCGCTGCTATGGACTCAAGGGTTGTGTCTGTTTTTCCAGGGGAGTGGGTGGGTGGTTGTGTGTGTGAGTTGGTGGGGTGGTTGGGGGGGGATTGGGGAGACTATGCGTGTTTTTTCTAACATGTGAACTTTGTTATATATCCCAAGGGATAGATGTGCCTCGTGGGTTATTCCTCTAGTTCCATGAGTTCATAAATTAGGGATAGTGTACAGACATCAATAGTTGTAGGGGTAACATATAACTTTATTATTTCTTATTTTTTTGATGTGCTCTTAGAGGGCAAGTGTGACGCCCGGATAATTAAGCTACAGTGATTCCCCGCTAATGGTGCCACGTCACCTCGGTTACTGTGGATAAACTCGCGTTAGTTCGGAACCTAGTTCGAATTTCAAATTTAAAACGAAAACAAACAATAAAAGTTTTCAGAAACGAAAACTAAATTGTTCGGGGGTTGTCTAAAATAGCAAACCTAATTATGGGGGGGTGCACAAATTTTTGTAAAATGTTTTGGCATTTTAATTAAACTAAAACAGAAAGCAGAAAAAGAAAAATAATAAAAGAAAAGAAAGGAAGAAGAAAAGAGGGAGGGAACCTCCCCTGGCCCATCTGGGCCAGCCCTTCCCCCGGCCCAGCCAGCCCCTCGAAGCCCCACCCCACCTGGCCCCTGGCCTGGCCCAACTCCCCCC